ACCCCGTTGCAGCAAAATGACATAAGACAAAGAGTAACCCTCCTCGTCTTCTAGAGTGGTCCCCTACGAATCTATCCATTGCACAAAGTCAAGTCAACAATTATGTGCAACCTTTCGTAAGATAAAAGCTACAAATGAAGTTCATCGCTCGACCCACTATCTACCGAAACTTTGTGATATCTTTCATCCTCCTGTCCCGGTACATCTACACATTCGTTGTCTTTTTGGCTCACTTACTTGCTATCAAAACCTATAATTTTGTTGTAATTGACTATTTAGAGGTCAGAGATGTAGGAGAGGTAGATAGACGCATCAAGACAAAAGGAGAAGAGGCATCACAAGCGTTCGGCAGGAAGCTGGTAAAGGTATTAAGTTCCCTTTATCTCTTAGACAAATTGTAGCTTGTGCTATAAAGGACAGAGCTCACTAGCAGTGCCGACTAGGAGGCCAGGGAAATGTCTGAGAATGTACTAAGTTCACAGTCCCAAGCTGGAACTTATCATAATTACTATAGCGGACGACCTCGAGTGCCTCATGATAATGCGACCAGTTTGTGAAAATGTAGTCAAACTATTTAATTTAATCTAAGGCTTTTATACCCTTTGATCATCTGTCATTGAAAAAGTTGGACCATTTCACCTGGCTGTCCTCAAAAAAATCATCTTGAGGGTCGGAATTGAGGCCCAGCCGAAGTGAATAGGTCCTTTTGACAACTGGATACTGGCAGATTCATTAGTTTTCTATTCCACCCTGCCCTATGGATCACAAAAACCAAATATGGAGGTCATCATTCTTAGTCACTCCTTGTCTACGTTGGTCCCGTGTAATAACTTTTTAGTTGTTATTCTAACCTGGAAGCTAGGGCTTGTGGGTCGCCTTAAGTGAAATAGCATTAAGTGACACCAATAGACTCCTCTTACATACTTCTTCTTTAGCTCTTACAGCCTTCAAATTTAATGATGTCTGATCGAGATTTTTCTATGTTGATTGCTAATGGGAACAAGAAGAGTCATTGGTCAATGGATACTCAAATGTTACCAAAACTCCCTTTGATGAGCCAATAATTTTGGCCCATTTTATTGCTCCTCAGACGCCAATTGTCCCAATTCTGGTCTAATTTCAAAATTCTCATTAGCACAATTAGCTTTCACCTCGTCAGCCTCCAAATCTCCATTTTCTCCTGACAATTCATGCTGGCCACAGCCACAAAGGCTCTCCATCAGTCAGCCAGGATGACCGTCCGATCTTTGCTGAATTTCAGGCGGTCGGAAATGATAGTGAACATTCCCTTTGCCTCTTTGCAGCCTCGAGATTACTTTCGTGGTATTCATCAGAAAGAATAGTATTTCGCGAGTGTCGCCTTGGTGGGATGAATAACAGAGAAGATTAACTGTTTGGCCTAAAATTACACTTTTAATTTGTCTTAAGTTGTTTCATCTTTCTTTTTTATTGTCTCCCCATCCAGACCAGACGATATTTGCCTTCCAGCCCAACATCATCTATTGTCATTGGCGTCTAAATCCACGTAGTATCCACTTGATTTGCCATTTTTAACGCATCAATACATGTTTTAAACAAAAGAAACTATTGAAGATATGAAGACCAAGATTTTTGTATGGTCGCAGTCTCCTTTCGATTCATAGAAATGGGTTGACCTCGTTGTCGCAACTTGGTCTTATTGTCAGGGCGACTTAGTAGAACGCACCTAGCCCGAAGTCGTCTGCCATAGTAGTTGTCATGATTCCCAGAATCAGACAGTGGACTTGGTACATTCTCAAAAGATAAGGAACGGATCCAAGAGACAATGAAGGTATCCGGATTGGAGATCCTAGTCGGATAAGCCGATAGAACGAGAAGGGTGGGGGTAGATAGTAAGTGTTATGGGGCCACGCTAGAATTTCCACAAAAGGAATGTGAACAAGTGAGAAATTGTGATAGGGCTGCAGTGGGATAAGCTGGTAAAGAGTAGATAGATAGACCAGGACAGAAAGCGAAGTAATAGTGTAATCGTTTTCAGCAGAAGGTTAGTCGAGGGATTGGCTTCACTTGTCTCTTTGACGAGTTCGTAGCTTGGTACGGATAATGGCAAAACTCACTGATGATGCCGACTACGATGCCAGAGAAACGTTTGAGAATGTACCAATCC